ACTCAACATAATACTCCCAAAGATGGTTCAGCGCAGAGTCCAAGTTCTAAGTGACACTCCTCTGGGTAATAGGAAACGCTGATTGACTAGTGGGCTGTTAGATAGGTTTAATAGTGTGGTTGTCAACAATAACAGCTTGGCCTATTTTTTTGCCTCTGAGACAGTGAGAGAGCGCTGCTAAAGATGGCATTAAAGCCACTCGTCCTCATCCACATCCGCCCACTCCCAAAAAGAGCGCACATATTGTTTTCCAACACTGCAAAAAAAGCGTTTGACTTGATTGGACCTGATTTATAAAATGTTCACCTTCCAAATAAGACAATGTGTGGGATGTAAGAGTACATGTATTCTATTCAGATGTTTCTGTATGTATTTAGCCATACAGAGTCCCCACACAGTAAGGGATGGTTAATATATTACAACAAGGTAACAAACATCCCATTATACTCCTAATAGGCACCACTCAAAATACATTAACACACAAATGACAGCACAAACGTCCGCCATTTATTTTATCGTTGGAGTATGTCTACAATTTTGTAAGGAGTCAAATCTGGTGATTGACTGGAAAGGAAAAAAAACATCTCAAAAGAAGGTCAGCATTTAAACATTCAGCTGGACCATAAATTCTTAGAGCCACCCATCAACACATCAGTGCAGTAGAAACAGTGCAAATCCGAAAGGAATTGCACTTGGGCGCACAGGGGTGGCTCCTTTCGACAATCCAAAATAGTATACGCTTCAATCGGAATATCTAGGCGGCATCTGGCCTGCACATGTTCTGTCAATGCGCAGTGACATTTTCTTTTACATATTTGAAAATGGCGGTTTCCCACCAGAATTAGTTTGTGATGGGAGAGCTTGCATTAAAATACATGAAACATGTTTTATTATGCTATTGCTTTAAAGCAAGTGTAATAACAACCACAACTGCTCTGCTAAATAGACGACTCAAGTCCATCTTAATAAATTGTCCTTCAGTAATTTTACCCCGGAAACCACCTCATCTGTGATAATAGTAATTAATCTAATAGAAAGGAGGGGCAATATCTGAACAAAATCTGAAATAAAAACAAACAAAAAATGAAGGCCTGTTTAACTTAAATAAGATATGTACTGTGCAACAATTTGGAACATACTGCATTTCCACAAATAAAGTTCTTGAAGAATTGAACAAAGTTTAGTGCAACCAAAATGCCACCAGAAACCTGACATATTGCTACATTTTGCAATATTTGCAGAGCTCCCGCAAACACACACAAGTGCACAGTTTGGTACATTGCTTGACGTTTCTTGACATCTCTGCTGCAGTCCAATGCTACTTTCTGACTCACTGTAGCGCGCCATTACTTTGCCCTCGGCTTTCAGGAGCCACCTACACCCGTCGCAGATAGTGACTGGCACACATGCACACACCGTTACAGTATATACATCTTGTATCGTGTCTTGTTTGTGTGTGGGCGTTTGTGTTGTGTGCATGTGATAGCCCAGTCCAGAAGGCCTGTAAAATATGCACAGCAGTCCTATGCATAATACATGCCTACAGCAGGAGAAAAGAACTTGTGAGCTGAGTAGATTTCCACCTCTCCATCTCTCCCCTTTGCCCCTTCCTTCCTCCGCTGTGCTTACTGCTTTCTCTATTACTTGTTCATTGTTGTTGATCACGTTTTGAATAACAACTGTCTGTCAGGCTCATTTGCAGGTCACAAAGTATGATAGTAAAAGGGATTGGTAGCTTGAGCGATAGGGACAAAAATCTAAGGAAAGGCATATTTTTGGCAGAAGCATGAGGGACATAGGCTATGCGAAGAGGAATGCTGTTTCGTTTTCTTCATTAGATGAAAGGAACGGGCTCACTGAATTCAAGATTGACTGCAGCACCAGACCACAAGGTGTTGCTGGTGGAACATAGATTTATTTTTACAGTATAGGAGGGAAGGGTAACTTTTTCCAAAAAATCAAATCATTCAAAATGTTAATATTTTTGAGGCACTATGTTTGTCCTGCAGATCACTCAAATCTGAAAAAAAATTATGAGGCCTTCTCGTGTTGTGGCATAGGCCTTCCTCGTGTGACGCCGAGTTTGTACGCCGAGTGCTGAGGAGGGTAAATGGTGGAGGGCACACTGTTGTGTGAGTGAGATAACAGAGGCAAAATAGTCCCCAAGTCTATCTGTGGACAAGAATGATGAACACTTGTCTGAACTAGAGATAAAAAATCATTCTTTCTGATATCGGCAGTGATTGGGGGGGGGGGAGCAGTTGTGTGAAAGAAGACGAGCAAGATGGCTATCACATCTTCGAACTGACCACTTTACACCATCCTCTACAAGAACCGACAGTCTTCCTGAAAAGACCGGCATTGATTAACTTCCACAGTGAATGTATGCAGATGTAGTTGCCAGTGTCCCGTCCTAAGCTATATAGTGTGTTGGAGGAGCTGCATCAGAGAAGCGAAACGCACATGGCCCCACAGGATCATCTGGAATCCACGTTCAGAGGGCAGACGACAGCTGCAGTGCATAGAAGCTGCAGTGGAGCAAACGTTTCTTTAACGTTCTTAACTGCAGTCCACGCTCAACAATGCCACTCATCCACGGCACACTGCCATCACACAGCAGAGGAGTACTCTCAGTGATTGAGTACTGTCACAAAAATTGACAACTCCAAAAAAATGATTTCCTCCCACCAAGCCATTAGATTCCATAACACCACCGTAGGCAAAGGGGGACGAGATAGGAGATAGCTGACATGTTAGTGAACCACACGTCATCCACCCAGCTTCTCTTTGCCTGTCTCGCCTTTCTAGCTACTGATATGCACCTTCTTTGTTGCACAGAACGCCCACCCATCAAACCCATCCATTTTGAATGCCATTTATTCTGTTGAGTAGGGGTGGAACAAAAAAAAAAAATCTGAACCGAAAAATCTCATCTCATCTTTTTGATTTAAAAGAGTGCTTCGAATCGAACAGAATTGAATCGTTTCACTTTGAAATATATTGAGATATTTATTGGATCAAAATTTTTTGGAGATATATATCACACTCCTGATATGTTCATTCAAATGTATGTAAAAGGACAACAGACAAGTCACCCCCTCGATCTGAGCCATACCAAATCTAATCGAATCGCAATATTCTGAGTCAAACTGAATCGTTCACTTCAAAATCTTTTTAAAAACCATCCTTGAATCGTTTCACACAATAGATATCAAAAAACATATCGTCTTGTCTTTTGTAGAAAGCTGCACATCGCTACTGTTCAGGGTCGCGGGTGCTTGAGCCAGATGATTTTGGGTGAAAGGCCATAAATGTCAATAAATAAATGTCTCGGTAATACATAATCAGAATGCAAAAAAACTCAAACTGTCTTCTCTCGGAGTTCAAAGTGAAGTTGGCAGTGGCATTATAGCGATGGCGAACACAGCTTTACTAAGACTGGGAGGCAGTGCGGGGCAAGTTACGCCACAATTGGTGAAAGGATTCTGGTTGCTTGGGCTAACGTGTCAGCTTGCACTGTTGTTCAAGCTTTCGTAAAAGCCGGCATTATTTCTGTTGAGCCACACAACAATGAGACTGACTCTGACAATGATGCGAGGGAACCTGGCGTGTTTGATGGAGAACTCGCCTAGTTGCTCATTTCGGATAGGATGAGGAATTTGATGGATCTGTGAATGAGGACTGATCAAAAATAAGGTGAGTATACCGAACTCTGTTGTGTTACCTCTGCCTTTTTAAAAACATAAGTTAGCGTGCATGCATGATACCGTATTTTTTAAGATTGCTCATGTTTTACCATGCCTGCGCCCAATAATACAGGGCGCCTTGTGTATGCGTTTATTGCAAAAAAGGCAGCCGTAACTGAGCCTGCACCTTTTAATACGGTGTACAGTATGGTCATGAAAATACGGTAGTTTTTCTGTTGGCTACTAATTGAATAAGACAGGTCATTTGCTGGTCTTAGCACAGAATGAATGGTAACTGTGTTGGATCATATTTACTGGAGGATTTATTCTTTCATTTGAAATTGCATTTACAAAGAAATATGTGAGCTCTCAAACTCATCCCAACTGCTGGTTACCATATGAGCTAGCTGGCTCGCTCCACAGTCGCAACTTGTAAGGGAATATTTCACAAATTCTGCATACACATGAGTGTACAGGTGTGTGTGTGTATGTAGGTGTGAAATTGAGGGATTGAAGCTAACTCTTCTCTTTACCTTTCACTTGTAACAAACACCGGTCATGCAGAAAGGTTTGAAAATCTTTATGAAACTGGGTAAACTAATTTCCCTCACAGGATGAAATCAGTATTTGGTTCCATCTTATCTATCTTATCCGTCCATCCCAGCAGCATGGTGCAAAATTCTGCCTCAGTTCATGTGCTTTGGATTTGAATTATGGGTGCTTCCTCCAGCATTCCCAAACCATGCATTTTAAACAATACCAATATGTAAAAACACCGATCTTTCTTCTGTACATTTTTAAACATATTTGGTTTTGGAGTAATCTAAAAGTAATTAAAAGTTTTCATAACGGTATTTTTTTAACACGTAACGAGTACGTGGATCGGAATACAAATTTTAAAGTAACCCTTGAAATCCTGGTCGCCAGTCATTTGCAGAACACATCTCGAGATGACCAATAATTCACACTCACATTCACATTGTCACTGAGTGGGAAATGAAACCATGCTGCCTGTACACAAGTCAGACGAATGTACTACGACACCATCAGTGATCACAGTACATTTACAAAGCTAAAATATAATCCACAATCAATATTTTCACTTGCTTTTCCTGTTTGTTGCTCGAACTACTCCCCCAAAAATTCTACAATGAATTACAGCGTTCATTAAAAGGAGAATGAGGTTCATTTGGTGGAAGCAAATAGCAGCGAGTGAATTTCCCATAGCTTTTGTCATGTCATTCTTTTTTTTAAGAAAACAAAATACCGGTACTGTATTTGGCGAACACTGCATCAACAAACTTACAAACTTACAATGAGCTGTTTGAGACCCAGGAAAGATTGTTCCACAGAGTTGGCAGTGAGAACTTGTCGCTTCATGGCCGCCTGCTCTCCCAAGAATCGAACCATTAAATCTTTTACAGCATCACCCTGTGACAAAATAAAACAAAACTATTATAGCTTATTGCATATCATTGTTGGTTTGTTATCCGAATTAAGTTAAATGTGGCAAGGGAGTTTTGTTGCAAATTATTAGACTTTGGCTAGGTCATATTTTAAAATAACACAATGAGAATATTTCAGTTATAAAAATTCAGAATAAGTACTGCCATTTTATCAACAAATTATTCCATTCAAGCAACAACAGAGAGCCCTTGTAAAAAGCTCTGCACATAGGACACTGAGGTATGTGTTCAGGGCTGCAACAACAAACCTATATTTTCGAAGAAAAAAAAAATCAATGTACCGTATTCAGGTGTTGGCAACAAATTTCATGATCAATTTGTTGTGTTGCGCGAGTTTTATGTCGATCAGCGGCTGCGTCACACTTTTATTATTTCAGTTGCGTTACGTCAGGCGTATCTGAGCGCGCATGAGTTGAGACGTAGTTGCACACTGTTAATACAGAAGCCCAGCAATGAAGTCACTATAGATTAGAATCAGAACACAGACAGGGAGTGAACAGTACACTTTCCACAGAAATCTGTCTGGAACTGCGCTAACGTGGAGTGCAACCATCTATGAACAGCAAATTAGTCGATCAATTAATAAAAGTGTCTAGAGTGAAAATACTCGCACGTGGAAGAGCGACACTGTAGGCCAGGGGTCCCCAAACTACGGCCCGCGGGCCGGATCCGGCCCGCCTCCGCATTTGGTCCGGCCCCCTGAAAATACCACAGAGTATTTTGATTTATTTTTCATCGATGTGGATTTGTCTTTGATCATAAAGTTGGGCTTTTGCAATAAAATGTTCCTTAGTTCTGAACCGTTTTCATTATTAACTATTAATTAGTAACTATTTCATAAACACAGATACAATAAGGTGACATTTGGTGCATCTTTCTGTGCCGTTATCTGGCAACGCCAGAAAAAAAAATCTAGAGTGAAAATACTCGCACGTGGAAGAGCGACACTGTAGGGTATCCGATAGGATTGCAAGACAAATTATCACCTTCCATTCAAAGACTGTTCTCCCCCCAGAGTGTGAACAAACACTTCTGCAAATCAGAGGCATAAACGTTCTTTCTTCAAATTATTTATTTGTCACTCACAACAGGAGTTTACTGTAAAACTGAGCGTAAGAGGTAAAATAAAGACTCAACTACCTAAATGCTGTCATACAGTAAAACTCAGGTAAGCTAATTATAATTAGCACCGATGTTAAGGAAAAATAATCTCATTCTTTAAATATGTGTAAATAAGGCATATTCACAGATATTGTAGAGCATGTATTTCAATGTCCATGGCCTATTGTAAAGGTTTTTGATTTCATTTTTTGATTTTTTTTTTTTTTTTAGTTTAAAAAAAAATAAAAATTTTGAGTCAAATTATTTAAGAGCTCTTCACAAACTATGCTGTTGATGCACTTCTCCACCATATCAATTTGAAATAATTTCCTTTTTTTTTTTGTTTTTTTTAAATAAATTTTTGTACAACTTTAATTGACTATTTAAAGAATCAGTCGTTGCAGCCCTGTATTTGATAATTGCATTTTACAATGAACTTGTTGGTAGGGCTGCATATCACTTGTGGTAAGAAGCTAAATGTTACGAGTGTAATACAATGAAAAAGAGGCAATGAAGATTTTTTTTTTTTTTTTTACTTTCTTGTAAATTGTTTGTCTTACCTGAAGGTTGTCAAACTTGAGACCCGGCATGGTGAGTCTGTTACTCTCGGAATATGCCGAGCTATACTGCTGTGTGGCCGTGGAGAGCAATGACTTCCTTGTCTCCTCAGATGGCAGCCAGGCATCATGGCGTCTATCCACCTCGCTCAGACTCAGCGCCGTTGCAAATGCGTCATCACTTCCTGAGAACACAGCCTGGAGTTGGCTGAAAGGCTGCAGCTGAGTCACTGGAGTAGAGGCAGGTGATTGAATTGGTGATGGTAACATTTGGGATGGATGAGGCTGAGGCTTGGCTGTGGACTCGGGAGGGGCAGAACTATATCCTGAATGAGGAGAGGGGGCACCTGGGGAGGTGCAGGACGATGAGGTAGAAGAGAGATGCTGGGGGTTTGAGGCCATTGGTGTTGCAGTTGGGCTTGACGGGATCTCTGCATTTGGGTTGGACACTGAGATGAAGGAGGAGGGGGCCATGAAGGAATCAAAAAAGTCAGATGCTGGATTGCCTTGTCCGTTGTCAGTGAAGAATTTGCTGAGGCTCGGGCTGGGCTGGCATACAAGTGGAATGGTCGACTTGCTGGGGGTTACCGCTTCATCACTTCCCCCTGTAGTCCCAATACTAAAACTGGGGGACTTGATGAGGGTGGGCTGGAAGCCGTCAGGTATCAGTGAATTTGGCTGCTTGCTCTGGCTGAATATAGTGCACACTGGCACAGGCTCATCTTTGAGATGTGTCCCTTTATCCAACACTGGTTCCTCACTTTTAAGACCAGATGGAATCTTTGTGTCGGCGGGAGATGAATGGGCATGCTCTCTTTCTTTTGTCTCATCCATAGTCTCCTCTTTTTTCTCTGAATATTCTTTCTGCTGCACATCTGAAACTTCAGTCACAGTCATAATATGTATGCACTCAGTTTGTTCCTCAGTGTCACATGATGTGAATCTTTCATTCACCTCATCAACAACACTATCGAGGAATGAATCAATTGGAGCAACGTCATCCTCCTCACTGTTATTCGGTGAATCAGAGATAATGACACTTTCCATCATTTGGTCATTGAGCTTGTCCATCAGGCTTTCTGATGGTGAAGCACTGCTGTCTCCTTGGGGTGTCGCAAAACCTCCCCCAAGGTCGATGCTTTCTTCTTGTGGCAGGATATCATTTCTGGTAGGAGTCTGAGTACTGTGCGTTGACGCTGGAGGCTCTGGGCATGGAGTCTCCTGGGTGACATCCTCAACCGTGATGTCCAAAGTGACTGGCCGCTGGGCGGGAGCCTCCTCACTCTCCATTTACTGCTTATCAAATCTTAAACCATAGTAAAATAAATATGTAAGTACTGTAATTAAAATAAATGGGCGAAGAAAACATTTGAACGCGAATAATAATAACAAAAACAACAAACTACAAATCATACATTCAAATTCCACAGGGTTAGCATTGACAGCAATTTACATAGTCATCTTTCTCATAAAAGCAACACTGTAACTGAGATCTAGTAACGTGTAGAGTACTTCTCATGCAAGAAACGTGAGTGTAACCAAGGAGTCGCTCATGCATGAATGTAATTTAGCTATTTTGCTAACGTTTCCTCTACCGGTAAGAGACGCAGCTGTTCCAAGAAGTCCAATAAATGCTTCAGGAATAGTCGCAAGCGGTTATAAAGGCATATCATAGTCCCAAGTGATCTATGCAGAATTCTAATAACAGAAACAAAACGGCACAGTATGAATACAAGACAGGTATAATTTCTTACCTCTCACAGGCTCAAACATACAACATTAATGCGCACGCGCGGTTTCCAATGCTACCCGGAAGTTTTTCTACGGCAAGTCAAAGTTGCCAAATGTTATGTCTAAAACGTACAAGGTATTCTGGAGTAGGTTTACGTACTTTTCCAAACGTCTTCACCGTTAAATGAACATGGTTACGCATTCTTTGCGCTAAACTAATTGATTGTGGGTTTTTTTTTTTTTTTTTTTGTAATCGCGGAAGTGGCGGAATCATTCTAAACTGCCTTGTTTACTAGTCAATCGTGTTTTTGTATAATTTAACCCTACCCACTTAAGCAGTACCCTGATAATGGAAGACGACGCACCCGTTATTTATGGTCTCGAATTCCAGGTATGCAGTGATACAGATGTACAGTGATATTAGTGTTGTATTTACCTTGCTAAAAATATCGTTTAAATGTTTCATGTTCCATTTTATCCGTACACTTTTTAGGTAAATGTGTATATATATTTTTCCAATGTCTTTGGTTTGCTGTCATGTATCAAAGCAGCAATTTTGCAGCAGGTTACATTTGTAAATGTTTTGCAGGCACGATCACTGACTGCGCAGACAGCTGAAACTGATGCTATTCGTTTCCTCGTGGGCACGCAATCTCTGAAATTTGACAACCAGGTGAGACAACAGACGTGGTCAAGCCACACAATGATTTAAATTGCAAAATGCGCATGAATACTCGCATATAATTGTGATGTGTAATTAAACATTACGTTTCCTCCCTGTGTGAAGTTTGCATGTTCTCCCCGTGTCTGCGTGCGTATTCTCCGGGCACTCCGGTTTCCTCCCACATTTTAAAAACATGCGTGGCAGGTTGATGGAACACTCTAAAATTTAGAGTCTAAATTGTCCCTGGTGTGAGTATGAGCTTGGATGGGTGTTCGTCTATGTGTGCCCTGCGATTGGCTGGCAACCAGTTCAGGGTGTACCTCGCCTACCGCCCGAAGACAGCTGGGATAGGCTCCAGCACGCCCTTTGAGACCCTTGTGAGGATAAGCGGATGGATGGATGGATGGATGGTATGGTAACAGTGTTGTTTTTTACAGTTATTTTATTTTCGCAAAGTAATCTATTGGACGAAAATGCTTTTTAGTTCCATTTTAGTAAAATATATGTGATCAAGTAAAAAAAGATTCCTGTCTTGTTTTAGCCGACGGAAACTTCACAGATTGTTAGAAATGTTGCAAGTTGAATATTAATTGAAAAGGTTCTAGTCTAATTGTAGTCAACGAAAACTCAAAAAGATTTTAGCCTGTTTTTGTCACATCCATCCATCCATTTTCTCATCCGCTTATCCTCACAAGGGTCGGGGGGCGTGCTTGAGCCTATCCCAACTGTCATCGGGCAGTCGGCAAAGTACACCCTGAACTGCTTGACATCCAATCGCAGGGCACAAATAGGCAAACCACCAATTAACATTAACAGTCACACCGAAGTCACATATAATTTAGAGTGTTCCATTAGCCTGTGATGCATTGTTTTTGGAATGTGGGAAGAAACTGGAGTACCTGGAGAAAACCCACGCGGGCACGGGGAGAACGTGCAAACGCCACACAGGAAGGCCAGAGCTCGGAATCGAACCCTGGACCTCTGTACTGTGGGACGTACATGCTAACCAGTTGTCCACCGTGCCACCCGTTTTAGTCACTTATCTTTATATATATTGAAAGTTGAATATTTATTGAACATTCGTTGAAAGTTGAATATTCATTGAAAGTCTGAGGGTATGGATACCTTGACTGCTTGCTGCTGCTAAACAAAAGATGTTTCCACCTTAGAAAGTTTTATAGGTTTTAGAGAACGTGAGATTCCATTTCATGAAAAATGGCATGGTCACATGATCTACCAGGTCAATTTCAAGGTCAAATTACTCTATATGTCAAACTAAAATATGAACCATTCTTTGAAAGGTTCCACTGGAATCAAAATCCACTTGCTTAAAATTTTCAGATTGTTTTTTTTGGGGGGAGCGGTGGGGGATTTGGCATGGAACAACCCACATAACATATTACAGTATGTGCATGGCTGCAGATGAGAAGCAATAAGGCAAATTTTCTTTCTACTACTGGAGATTTTGCAAGTGTTCAAGTTAAAATCAAGACATCTTGAAAAGAAACAAATCTATCCTTCAGCTGACTTCACCAAATACCACAAAATATCGGGGCTTTGAGTATTGGCCGTGCTTACACAGGAGCAAAACTTATATCACCAGTGTGATGTAATTATGGTCTCCGGCGCACATTGTATTTGTCATCTTGGTAATAAACAAATCACAAATTTACCAGTCGTCATAATTAACAATGACCTAGCCCTCCGCAGGGCTGTTATATTAATATGGTATATTAACATGAGTCACATTGATTTGTGGATTGCACATTTTTACGCCGATTACCAGCCATGGTGGTTGCCTTGCATTTTAATCTGAAATGCTCCCACACTTCTGCCATCTTCATCAAACGAAAAGCTTCACTTCCGGCTCTGACTTCCTGCACATCCAGACCCTACAAACGTAGACTTATGAAAATTGATCCAACATAAATATTTATTTCCCCAAAAAAGTTCAAATAATGACGCTGGACAACAAGCCAGAAATAATGCGAAGAAAACAAAAAGCGCTGCACAACGCAAGTCAAAATGTCAAGTTACTAAATTAAGCACAAATCTTCCATACAATTGCAGATTTGGAATCCTTGTTGAATTGGCTTTCCAACAATACACACTTTGTGAAGATTGACCCCTTAATTCTTGAGCTATAAGGGTTCAAAGGAAGGAAGCCATGCCCTTTGTGGCCAAAAAATGTCAAAATTCAGTGGGCCGTAGCTCCCAAATCCCTTTTCCAATTGACCTACATTTTGAGATTTAGTCTTGTGCCATCACCATCAACAAGTACACCATGATTTCCTGAAAATCAAAATCTGCTCAGTGAAACCCACTGAGTGATTTGTCATAGAACGACCCGGTAGAAGACTTTTATGTGTAAAAAAAAAAAGAATTCATTTCTAAGTGTATCAACCTTTTCAATGCCATTTGGAACCACACGTTGCTTTGTCAGTTACACATTCATAATGCTATGACAAATAACAGGACTTGAGCCAAGTGTGATTCTTGAAGGTACACAAAACTGCTACACGTCCACCCATTTGGTGTTTGAAATGATGGTTTCAAGTATTATTCATTGTTTGAATGTTCATGTGTTCTATTGTAGCGACTGTATGTTGATATGTGTGAATGAGAAGAAAGAAGAATTTGTGTGCATGCAGGCATGCATGCACATCTTGCATAGGTCATTACAGAGACAGATGAGAGAAACAGTTGGTGCTAAACGGGGGGAGAAATAATTAGCTCTCTGAGAAACAGAGAGGGATGACGGTGAGAGTGAGAAATGTCTGCCTAGAGAAAAATGAGCCTGTTTTCTGGCAGGCTTGAATGTGAAAATGGTTTGGCACCAAATGCGAACTTAACTCATTCCAAGTCTTGTACAGAAACAGTCAAAAATGATGCTTGTCAGAAACTGTGACAATGAGCACGATCTATGTAATTTCTTATCACACATTGTCAATAGCTGAAGATACAAATTCCTGACACTTCTTCGACTGAAACATTTCAGGAAAAAAAAGGTCAATGAGTTATGGTTTTATTTGAGAAGAAAGATCCAGGAGCAGACATGCAGCGAGAGGCAGGTTTACGGGATGCAGGCAAAATTTGAGCTGGATACAAGTTGTGTAATTTACGGACTACGAAGTGCACCTGATTAAAATCCCCAACTTATAAACGTAGCTCTAAAAACAAGTGTAAACATATATCGGCCTATATTTTAGCTGTAGGTCATCAGGTGAATAACATGGGATATTTGTAAAAAAAAAGCAGTCACACAGATTTTTTTTTTTAGACAACTGAAATGCTTTTCTCCCAATGTAGAGTGCAGCTAGTTATACAGTAGCCCTCACAGCAACATTCTCAGTCGCTTTTGTTATTGCACGAGGCAAATTTGCTGACAAGCTTGTGCAATATTCTTCATCAAAGATCAATACAGCCTTTGGAAATCTGTTTATAAACCTTTCCTCTTCTGGTTGCCTGACCGTGGTTGGGGGACACAGGGGGGGATTTCGTTGTAGGCCTGAGTGGCTGTCCTCTGGGGATAATGCCCATCGTCTGTGGCTAATGATAATGGGAGTCCGGTAGCCAAACAAACAACAGATAGGGGTTCACACTGCAGAGATGGTTGCATTTATGGCACTCGTTCCCTCTGCTCATTAAACTCAACTCATGATGCAACTTTTTGCTCTCAATTGCTTCTACACAGCTTTGCACCGCTTCTCTCTCTCTCACACACACACACACACACACACACACACACACACACACACACACACACACACACACACACACACACACACACACACACAAAAACAAACAAACAAAAACACACACATTTGCGCTTTCTCAGGCAGCCCGTCTCTCCCTCACGCATGTGCGCTCACCTACACATTCGTCACACACCAAGCCCGATATCACACCCAAGCACATCACAATGCCCGTAACATATTGGTAATAGTGGATTTTGGCACTGCTCCACACTGTCAGGATCCACTGGCAAACCTCAGCAATATTTGTTCTTGTAAGCGTTACTCTGACGCTTGGGTAACATAATGTCTCTGTTATTTTTGTCATGACAAATTTATGCCATGCCATTATTTTAATAATGTGTGTATGTGTTTTTAAACACAATATGCTCAGTATAGCTGGGCGTATATATATATATATATATATATATGGTATATACACACACACATAGTGAGAGAGAGAGAAGAGACAGAGAGAGAGGGAGAAATTCATTTCCTACTCAAATGGGGTACACAATACACACACATACAGGAATGCAAGGAGAGATTCAGAGTGAAACAAATGCAAGCATCAACACAAACAAGATGGATCATTAAGTTGTGCTTTGGTTCGAGCCGGAGGACCCTAGAGTAGATCTGACCACTTGAGCTGAAGTGGTGGGGACTGTGCTTTGCTCAAGTCCAGCTCTGCAGTAGCCAGCAAACTGACCAGCAACAACTCGTGCTCTCCAACAATTGTTGCCATTTTTACAATTTTGTCCGTAATTGGACTTGAACCAGTGACGCATTCCAAGTTCTTTACAGACTCAATCAAACAAGAGAGTGTTCCCCGATTTCCAGTAAGGTGGAACATTCCTGAAAATAGATCAACACACAGTTGGATGAGAATGAGGTGGAAGTTTTACTGCATTGCCTGAAGCACCTTTGTTTGCAGAGAATATTTCTACACAACGTTAAACGGGGCATGTAACACATGACTAAGTTGCTCTGTATTGAGTGAACATCCACACGTGTGGGCTCACCTGTTCTATGAATTAGACACACAGCGTACCTGTGTACAATTCCCCGATTAGGGTCATGAGACATGGAACGTGGGGCTTCATGAAATAAACAAGAACCATATTTAAAAAAATGAAATGAGAGCATCACAACATCCTTGCATATTCCAATATGTTTTAAGAATGTGTGTCTTGAATTATGAGCGTAATTTAAGAGTGAACAACAGCTGAGGATCCCAATTAGAACATACCCACAAGCCTTTGTCATAAGTTGTGCTGTATGCTTGATTCATGGAAATCATTGTATTCGCCACGTTTTGCAGGTTTACTGCCCAGAAATAATTTGCTTAGTTGGGCTGAGTTTGAACTAAGAGTAAGAAAAATGTTTTTTCGATTGGCATTTCAGCCCGGAGAGCTCCTTCTGTATCCATAAGCCTTCTGGCCTCTCCACCTCCCATTAGGCATAATGCAGGGTGGAAATGTCTCTCTTAACTCACACAGCACCTCTCAAATCCCTCGGAGACCAATAGCTAGAATGACAGATCGGAGTGTGTGTCGGCATGGCATTTAAGGCCGCTAATGAGATAAAGTGCCCAAGCTTGGCACCTCTCACCCGCATTCCACTCCTCCGTACCGCTTACTGTCATCTTGTGCAGCTAAAGAGCTTTAGAACAGAGGCCCCTGAAGTGGGGTCCACAAGCCAGCTTGGTTTTATCCCTCCCTTACCTCCCCTTCCCTCCTCCCTTCTCTACCTCTCACTGCCGCCTTTCCAGCACATAATTAAAAGCGCTGGGCCGGGTGCCCAAGTGGTTCAAAGTTATGAGTCACTCCCCGGGCCTGGAAGAGTGAGGCATAAATCACCTAGGGGGAGGGACTGTTGGAGGTTCTCTCTCCCCTCACACCTGGGTTTATTTGGGAGGACCCTATTACTGGGCCCTCCAATTACCCCGTTCCGTCAGTCTGAATTTATTTGCACCGCTCCCCCAGCACCATTAAATTACAACTTTGCGTAATTTTTATTTTCTGCTTGATGCAGTCCAACCCAAGGTTAATAGCTGCCTTGCTGACTTTGAGGTGGCTGAGGGACTCTGACGCGATGATGCTCTACCCTTCCTCTTCTTAATGCCCCTTTCTTTCTTCCTGTTGTTAAGCCTGTAAATGGCAAACAGGCAAGATGAGTGGGAGTTACTGTCCAGGGCATCCCTTTTTACAGTGCTCTGAGACATTGCAAGTGTATCTCCAATTGGGGATACCGCCTTCAGTTGTCTGAGCAACAGGAGAGAACCTCACTTTTTACCGCATTGTGGGCCCTGAACTGAATTCAACTTGGGGACCATGTTGAATAGATCACAACCGGTAATGAAAGTCCCTCAGTAAAATATGAAGGTTATAAAATAAAAGTTTAGCTTGTTGGACTTTAGATAGCTGTTGATTGTTTTTAACATCAGCCAAGGCCTAAGTAAAATAATGGGGTCAAGGACCTGCCTTCTAACATGCACCAATATTAATAATATACCAGTAGTTGAAGGGTTGGATCCCCTATAAATCTTTACTGGCCTGATTTAACTGCAGGGATGTACAAGTGTACTCTTGGCCCCAACTATAAAGTTGCAGTATTGAAAACCTGACTGACATGTTACTGGCGCCAACCTTGGGTTAACTGCACCACTGTGGTTAGTAACCCAATGTATGGAGCAAAATGGATGGGAAACCAAACCGGTAACTATATACTGTTCAAAACTGGACTGCATATTTTTAATTTTTCATTATTTTGAAACATCATCTCAATATTAAGTGAGAATAAATTAAGCAATTGTATAAATGTGAACATGATAGCGGGAGTCCTATCATGAGCAGCCTATGTGAACACTAAACAGATATCCCGCAGTGTGAGTGACTCGTGCCAACGTATAACACAATGGGTTAAGTACTACAATTTCAACTATATATATATATACTTTAGATATTATTTATATATACTGTACCTGTATACTATATATATATATATATATATATATATACTTTATATATAAAAGCCTGGATCTGCTCTTATAACACCATTTTTTGGGTGGGGCAACTGGCTTTTTCTCCTCCCACCGCA